GTTCTTCAACGAGATGTCAAGCTTAGCACACGTAACACATAATGCACGACTCAAGAAAAGCCGTCATTTGAAGCCATCATATGGGTAGAGAGAGAAAGAGAAAGGAGACCACAACCCACACCCAACTCAAAGTGAACGCAAAGACGACACTCACCGACGTGCCAGGTTTTGCTCGTGACAACCGGTGCAGACTGCCAAATAGGAATTCAACAATGGACTGCGAGTGTGAAGAACCCTCCTCATTCAGCACCCGTCGCTGCCACCACATTGCCACGGTGCCGGCGTCAGCATTGTTGACAGCAACTGTCAAGTTGAGCATCACTGCGACAGCTGCCAACGCGACCTCCTCGTTGGGCACAGAACGGTTGCAAAGGTGTAACAGACGCAAGAGCACATGGGGAAGATACTCCGCATTCTCTTCACATCCTCTGCGGCCGTCACCACACTGTGATGCTACTGGTGGTGGTGTGGTTGAAGTTGGAGTGGTGAGTAGCCAGAGGCAAACCTCGCGAGAGAAACGGGTAGCAGTTTCTGCAGTTGGCATGGAGAGGAGGAGGAGTGTGAGGTGGATGTGAGTAAGGCGTGGGCTTTTTAGGGTATGGTTGGGATAGAAGTGGACGAAAAGTACACAAGAAAGTGCACAATTCTTGTTCCTACTTAAGGAACCGGCAAGTCACCGCTTACTCTCTCCCTACTCTGTCAACGGGTAGAAGAGATAGTCTGTTTGAAGAAGGTAGATTTATCACTGAATTGAGGCTATAAACAAGCTCCCATATTCATTCTGAATCCATTTAATGTGGTTTTCGATTTAAATACACACTCACCCAGTAAACAGTCTTGAATATCCTTTTGTCATTGAACCTGGACCTTGACTAACTGCTCTAGCGTCTAGCCTAGACCGGCCAGTAACCCACTATTCTGCCTAATCTTCCTTCCTACCACCATTCTTTTCAATAGTCTAGTACATGAAAACTTTTGTCAGTTCTACAATTACTACAGCTATACCCTTCAACTCTTAAAGCAATGAAATGTAGAAAATAAAAATATCCTCTAGATATACCCAAGTGACCAAGAGCCTCCAGCACACTCGCCACAGACGTATACCGCAACAAGTTGGCCAGCGCGCGGCGGGCACGAGCACCAAGCGTGTTGTGTGGACGGGCACGCGCCTCTTGAGTTGCCTCGCTCAGACGTTGACGAAATGCAGCAGCACTCCTATTGGCGCAGCGCACACGATGTCCACGCCAAGCTGACTGAATGACGATGGCCGCCAGTTGCCGACGACGTATCCAACGCCGTAGTCCCGAGGCTCGCCAGTTCCGTTGAATCACGCAGGCTGCCTTACAGGTGGAATTAAGGAGACAGTTTAGATATGCCTACGAAAATGTTTGTAAGTTTAATACAACTATGCCTCTATTATTATGTACTTGGAGTGTTCCCACATCGAGACGTTTGAATGCGGTTATAGTAAATGTAAATGGTCTA